CTTTCTCTTCGGGCTCTGTGGTCAGTGTGTTAATGACCCCCCCAGAGCCTGGGTGAATAAAGATCCATAAGCCCCTGGCTTAGAGAATAGAGCTTTGACCCAGGCTCTGATGCCCCTCCCCCATGCTTCCTTCAGCATCCTGGAGTGGGTCAGAAGAGACGAGAAAAAGAATAAGGTGGTTGCTTGATAGGGTCACATGCCATATTGGGCAAAGGAAACCAGCATTCCTTATGAGGTTGGGTTCTCAGATCCTACTACTCAGGCCCTGATGGGTTGTAAGCAAAATAGGAGAGAAGGGTGTGCAGGCACTCACGTGGCGGGAGAAGTAGTAGAAACTCAGCATCATGACGAAGATCATCACTGTCATCGTGTACTTAGAAGGCACCAGGGGCAGCCTGCAGGGCAGAGAGTAATTCAACTGAGAAGGCACCCTCCTAAAAGGTGTTTTATTCCAATGGGGATGCACTCTTCCCTATCACCCTGGGTCCCAGAAATTCCTGGCTCCTTTAGCACCTTCACATTTACTGCCTCTCATTGGGCAACAGTGAAGCTTTCTTAAATCACTAAGAGCCAACCAATCCTAGCGCCTCCTGGCTGCACTTGGAATTCACATCAGGGCTGCTCCCAGGTGTTTAATAAATACTGCATCACCTGACCCCAGAAGTAACTGTAAGCATGTAGGAGCTTGGAAAAAGGACAGACTACCATCACAGCAGTGGCATTAGGGCACAATTTTGCCATGCTTTTTTATAACTATATATTTTTGCATGGAGCTATATAATTCATTTTTATTACTGTATAGTATTCTGTTGCATGAATATACCACAACTTATATACCATTTACTATTTATATAATTTGGATCGTTTTCATTTGTTTTGAATGTCTGTGTGGCTATTATGAATGCTTGTACACATCCTGCGGCAAATATATGTACATGGATTTCTCTGAGGAATGTGTGTAGCAGTGGAATTGCTGGAATCTATGAGTTACCATTGTACTTGGTATTATCAGACTTCTTAATTGTTGCTAAACTGGTCTTCTGTTATGGTCTTAATTTGGATTTCCTGATTACTTAACACATTTCGTACCGCTCAGGAGTTTTCTCATGTTTCGCGTGCCATCTGTTAAGGACCACTCACGAGTGTTCTCGTTTTTCATGCCCATGGAAAAAGGGGTGAGTCTAGATACTTATGTAAATTTTGTTTGGTCCCTCTTCATAGAGGAAAATGTTTTACGCAGTACCATACGTTAAAAAAGTACTAGGAACTTCAATTGTTTAATTGTTTTTGTAAATAAAAATATTATAATTATTAAAAACAACACCTAAAGTGCATTATGATGATTTAAATAACATGCAGTTTGCCCAAAAATGTGCGGTCCCTGGCGTATGTCTTAGAGATTTCTATGCGGTACGCCTTTCATTTATTAGTGGCCATTTAGATTTCTTCTTGTGTGAAGGACTATTTCAGAGTTCTCCCCATCTTCTAATCTTTTGTTAAAACTTACCTGATTGTAGTCAAGTCACTGAGTCACAACATTCTAAAACTTGAGAGCTAGAAGAGACCTTGGAGAGCTTCCTGTCCACTGTCCTCTTAAAGAGATGAAACTGAGACTCAGGAAAAATGGGCTGCCTGCTGCTCCACAAATTACTGTGACAGGTGAAGAATCCAAGTCTTCTAGGTCGAAGGCAGTGTTCTTTTTTCCTCCTTTTTCTGCTGTCTATACTGCCAGCCCGTTAAATGCAGCACCATCCATTTCACTTCTCTCCCCTCACCCCACCTCTAGACCACACTGTGGCTGTTCTCCAAGCTTCCCTCTGACTTGGGATGACCAGGCCCATACCAAAACCATTCCACCTCTGCCCCAGCCCTCCTAGAGAAACACACTAACTGCTCTACTCCCACATCCCAGGTCATGTGCCTTTACAAGGCTGAGGTCATAAGGCTCTGGCCATAGTATTCCCTGTCTCTAGAGTCTAGAGCAGCGGTTGAACGACCCTTTTATAGGGGTCGCCTAAGACCATCCTGCATATCAGATATTTACATTACGATTCATAACAGTAGCAACATTATAGTTATGAAGTAGCAACAAAAATAATTTTATGGTTGGGTCACAACATGAGGAACTGTATTTAAAGGACCAGAAGGTTGAGAACCACTGGTCTAGAGGAAAGGAGCCAAAAATGCGGACCAGAGGGAAAGCAGTCACCTTACCTGCCAGTGCCATTGAGCCCTGGGGTGGAGAGTATCTGCATCTTCTCTAAGGCGACCAGAGGAACACTGTTGGACAGATAATGGCACACTCAGGCCCCATTTGGGTACAAGAGGCTGGTGCCCAGGCAAACACTGCGGCAGCCCAGACCCTCCCCTCATCAAGTATGAAGATCTGCCCCAGGTTCACTGCCGTTCAGAGGCACATCTCTGAGCAGCCCTGAACCCCGATTCCCTAGAGATAGAAAGCCACCTCAGTGGAGGGCCATGACTTGGAAATGGGGACGAAGGACTTGGAAGAAGAAAATCCAGATTCCTAGACAAGTGTCATCTTACCCGTGTTCCTGGAAACGTCTGCGGTCATATTCATCAAAGATGGGGCGCCAGGCACAGAGGTTGATGACAGCCACAGCGCCCGTGACAAGCAGCATGAGGGTGAGCTTCACCATGTGGCTGACCTGCACCAGCATGATGGTGGCGATGAGGGACAGCACGGCGACATAGTTGTAATACTTGGGGTTCTCCATGCAGCCATCCTCTGTCGCCATCCCCGAGGTGCCATTGATGGGTCCCATGTAGTATTGCAGGCAGCTCAGCTGGAGGCCAGGGCCCCGGGAAGAACACAGGGTCAAGGGAACAACAGACATTGTCAGAGAAGGCTGCTGTGGCAGTGTCGCTCAGCTGCCACTTCCCCGGCTCCCTCAGAAACACCCAGAAGGGTGGGGAATTTTACCAAGGAAGAATACCAATGTAATTCCTACTAAGAGCTTTACTATCATCCCTTTGGATGTTCACAAAAACTCCCTGGGTGTTTTTAGTACTGCCACATTGTAGAGAGACTCAGGCTGGACTCGCCCAAACCAGCGCAATCAGCAAGTGGGAAGCCAGAGAGCTAGGAGTCCAGGCTTCAGGTTTCAAATCTAGTAACGCTGTTGTCCACATCACACTGTTAAGGAGGGAACGTGGGGCCAGCTCATCGCCCGCACCTCACAACTGCACAGATGGCAGCCACTCTGCTCCCATGCTCCCCCATTTCGGACTTGGTCACTGGTCCCACTGCTGGGCAGATGTAGTCAGTAGAAAGTGCGTCCGCACACCATCTATCCTACTTTGTGTAGCCTTCACCCACTGAGCTTGGCTGGCTTTGGGGAAGTTCTCGGCATGGGACTCTGGCATGTGAAAAGTTTCAGAACCCCCTGGATTTCACCATCCACTAAAGACGGGATCTCCAGGTATCCTGCACCATGTCCATGACCTTGTTAAACAGTGGTCCCCGGATCGGCACCAGCCTTCAGGTGTGTTCTGACAAAGGGCGTGGGGCTTTTCTTCCCTGCACTGTGAGCACCAGGCCACGCAGGGGCATGTTAGGTTCTGGAGCTCCTAATTCCATTCCGTTGGATTTGTGATCAGCTGGCCCTAAGGCTGTGTCATTTCTTTTGCTGCCACAGTAAGGCTCCATGCTGAGTTTGTTTTGTTTTTTAAGCCTCACCAGAGGATATGCTTAGGGAGAGGGAGAGATATATGAGAGAGAAACATTGATTGGTTTGTCTTCTGTACTTCTGTGCCCTGACTGGGAATCGAACCCACAACCCAGGCATGTGCCCTGACTGGGAATCGAACCAGCAACCTTTCAGTGCAAAGTATAATACTCAAGAAACTGAGCCACTCTAGCCGGGCTCTCCATGCTGAGTTTTTTCCTGTGCTTAGATTGTTAAAAAAATATATATTTGAAAAAATAGGACTTTTTAAAAGAACGTCTATAGTGCCCCCCAAATTAGTGGGAGCTGTGATGACGAACAAGAGAAGAGAACATGTCACAGCTCCCAGCACCCAGTGCTCAATAAATGGCTGGTGGCTCTGAATCAGTAGACTTTTGGTTTCCAAATGCTTTTCCTCCCCCAACCCCAAGAAAGTCTCTGGCCACCCCCTCACGGGAGCCAAAGCTTCGCCATAAACTAAGGACAGCAGGGAAGAGGACTTTGTCTGCCTCCAGCCATTTGGGCTCTGCAGCTGCTCTCCCCAGTGACCCAGCTCGAGGAAGGTCGGGCCAAATGGATGAAGACAGAACAGAAGAGGTCCTTTAGTGGAAGAGGTCTGCCTCCTTGTTGTGACAGATACCTGACCCTACCCAGTGTAGGGGATACTCAAAATAAGTGGAACATTTGTGAGTATTGTACCCCTTGGGCAGTGAGGTAAGAAGGAAACGGGATTGGGATTTAGACCTTCAATTCTCGACTCTGTCACTTACTGGCTGTGTGACTTAGAATAAGTGAATTAACCTTTCTGAGCTGTAATTCTTCATATGGAACTACAGCTAATAATACTGCCCTCTTGGGATTGTTATCAAGGTTAAGTGATGAGTGTAAACTGTGGTTGAAAAGTAAAAAAAAGATTAAGTAAGCCAATATATATAAAGCACCTAGCACATGGTGGGATCTGGTGCATGGTGTTGGTTCTGGAACTTGGAGAACAAGGAGCTGGGAACAAGTCACTCTCAGCGTTTTCCTGGGGAGAAGACCCCTCTGTTTTGCCAGGATCTAGTTAGGAACCTACTGCCACTCCAGATCTGTCTCGGGTGGAGGAATGGCTTGACAAGCTGCCCATGCTGGCCGGTGTGGAAGCCTTTTCCCACTAACGGGAGCGTCCCTTCACAAGTACAGCAGGAACTCACCATGTCCACGACATTTGCCATAACCAGAATGAAGATGGCTAACATGGCCCAGGTGTTCCTGGCCCAACGTGTCCGGTCAATCCACGTCGAGAAGGCCACAAGCTTCTTAGGAAAGGCCTAGAAGGAATGGAGTTTCAAGGGCCATGAGCCTTGAGACAACTGCTAACGACTCCAGGGGCTCTCATACTTCCCAGGAGCCTAAAAAGTCATGCTGTGCGTGCGAGTCAGCCACACCTGACTGTGGCAGAGCGGAGAAGGGAGCGCAGGAATCCTGGCGCTCTGTCCCTCCTCCATTATGAAATGTCATGGCTCCCAGAGAGCAGAACCCTTTCCTCAGAAGACACGGGACCAGCCCAGGAGGCTGTGGGCAGCACTAGCCAGCAGTAGCCCGTTTCTTATCTCCAAGTGACAAGGCCAAGACGGGAGACTTGTCAGGCCAGCCATCTATGCCTGGCTAGTCTGCCTTTCCCGGGCCGGCATACCTAAAATCTTCCATTACCTGGCAAGCCACCTGCCAGATTAATTTTCCTAAAACACTACTTTGGTTTGGTCATTCTGATAAAAATGCTGCATGCACCCAGTGCTCAGAGAAGTAAGTCTTCGTCCTTTTTTCTGGGTTTCAAGGTCCTCCAGAGTCAGGGCCAACCCACCTTCCAGCTGGGCCTCCACTGCTGTCCAACAGGTTCTCGTTTCTCTAGGCTCCGGCTTACACTCATGCCGCTCCAGCGGCAGAGCCATGAGCCCGGCCCCGAGTGGGTGCTCAGCGCTGTCAGTGAATGACTCACTGTGGAGTCTGAATGGGTGGATAGTCCTGAGCCTTTCTAACAGATCTGTCCTCTGTTTGTAAGGACTTGATAGGATGCGTAACTCCGTCAATACTCACTTTCACAGGGAGTGACGCTCACTTCCCAAGGGCTTTTGAGCCGAAAGGAGTGCCGCTTACCCGGGGAAAGATGGCAGCCAGCGAGCAGACCGTCAGGACCAGAAGCAGAAGCTCTCCAACCACAAAGGTCACATTCTGTGTTTCCAGGTCCTCCAGAGTCAGGGCCAACCCACCTTCCAGCTGGGCCTCCACTGCTGTCCAACAGGTTCTCGTTTCTCTAGGCTCCGGCTTACACTCATGCCGCTCCAGCGGCAGAGCCATGAGCCCGGCCCCGAGTGGGTGCTCAGCGCTGTCAGTGAATGACTCACTGTGGAGTCTGAATGGGTGGATAGTCCTGAGCCTTTCTAACAGATCTGTCCTCTGTTTGTAAGGACTTGATAGGATGCGTAACTCCGTCAATACTCACTTTCACAGGGAGTGACGCTCACTTCCCAAGGGCTTTTGAGCCGAAAGGAGTGCCGCTTACCCGGGGAAAGATGGCAGCCAACGAGCAGACCGTCAGGACCAGAAGCAGAAGCTCTCCAACCACAAAGGTCACATAGTTGGTCATCAGCCTGTAAGAGAGAAGTCGATGAGGAGGGGCCGGAGGGAGCAGTGAGGGTGGGTGAGAGAGGGATAGGAGCAGAAGGCACCAGCCTGCACCGAAAAGTTCTGTGATGCTGAGTGTGGGGCCTAGGAACGTGCGGCCCTCCCCAGCTGTCACTGTTGACCCCGGATTTTCCCAGAGGAGGCAGAGTCGAAGATGCCCTGCCCAGAGCCCAGGAACACCTGAGAAGGGATTCTTAGGAATGAGCATGCTGCCACGTAGCTATGATGTTGCTAATCCAGTGCCTGATTCTTGGTTGCACCCGATTCCTGGTCGCCTTTCACCCTTCAAACTATCACCCTGTCAGTGAGGCCTGCTCTGAGCATCCTATAAAAATGCAAACAAGCCCAAATCCAGCTCACCCCCAGCATCCCTCTCTCCTCACTTGACTTGTATCTGTAGCACTTATCCTGTCTGCATATATATTCTAATTACTTAATTGTTCACGTTTATCTTCCCCTTCTAAAACGTAAGTTCCACTGGAGCAGGGATTTTTTTATGTTACCTTCACTGAAGGTGAAGTAGAAAGTAAATACTTGTGAGTGAATGAGTGAATTTGAGCCTCACAACAACCCCGAGTCAGCCGGGGCAGGTACTATTATCCTCGGATTAGCCTCCTCGTCAGCTCTGGCTTTACAAACTGATGCTTCAGGAGCCCTTAGTGCAGTGGTTCTCAACCTTCCTAATGCCTTGGCCCTTTAATACAGTTCCTCATGTGGTGGTGGCCCCCAACCATAAAATTATTTTCGTTGCTACTTCATACTGTCATTTTGCTACTGTTATGAATTGTAATGTAAATATCTGATATGCAGGATGTATTTTCATTGTTACAAACTGAACATAATTAAAGCATAGTGATTAATCACAAAAACAGTATGTAATGGTATACGTGTTTTCCAATGGTCTTAGGCGACCCCTGTGAAAAGGTCATTCAACCCCCAAAGGGGTCACAACCCACAGGTTGAGAACCGCTGCCTTAGTGACAGGCCTGCGGTCACAACCAATAGTAAAGCGTGTCCGGGACCTAGGCCCATGTGACTGAGTCCTAGGCTCTTTACGTTCCCCAAACTAACGGAACAGGCTCCACACTGGCTCCTTCCTGCTGGGGAAATCAATCCCTGAGCAGGATGAGCTGCTGATTGGCTCCGGAGGGAGGGAGGGACTCATCCTCAGTTGGGCAGTAAGCCAAGGACTCCAGCACACCCCCAGAGGACTAGCTGCTGCGTTAGAGCCACCAGTCTGGACCTGAGCCTAAACGTGTTTACTAAGATGAGCCAAGACAGGGAACCAGGTTGGCCTTGGTGACTGAAGATGGGGAGTGTCCCCAGCCTCTGTCTCCTTATCCCAGAACCACTGAGGCCCAGCTAGCCGGGTCTCCAACCCCAGACCCCCTGTCCCTCAGCCTTGGTCTGCCCCCCATTTTGATGCTAGTGCTAGTCCAGAACCCAGGGGCAGAGTGAAGCACAACCCCCACATCCCCTGGGCCTAGGTCAGCTGGGGCTGCTGGGGGGGGGGGGGGGGGTCAAGGAACAACAGTGCTGCGCCCCCACGTCAGGCTCCAGCTGAGGCACCCACATCGCACCTCTGGCTGGGAAGCTTGTCGCCTTCCGCCCTCCCGGCCCCCGGGCCCCCGCAGGGCCCTCACCAGGGGTCGATGACGATCTCCACCAGGGCCGCGCACAGCAGCACGACGCAGGAGCAGCTGAAGGCGGCCCCGCTCTGCTTTTCCTTCTCCACGGAGTAGCGGGTCTCCAGCTCAGGGTCCATGAAGCGCATGGACAGGAGGAAGGTGTTCCTCTTCTTCACTCTGCGGTGGGAACGAGCCGTGAGACGCCAGCGCCACCTCCGCCTGGGCCTGTCCGGAAGGTGGCAGGGCCCGCGCCGAGGAGCCAGGCCGGGGCGGTGGGCACTTACACCTGCGCGGACTCCCGCTCGAGCAGGGCCTCGTTGAGCAGCTGGTTGAGCTCGTGCTCGTCCTCAGAGGCGTCCACCACCCGATCAGCCAGGTCCTGAAGGCGCAGCCTCCGGCGAGGGTTGGGGAACGAGGGGTTGTCGGCCTACAAGGCAGCGAGGCGCGTTAGGGGGCAGGTGGGATGCAGCTGGAGAAGGACATGGGGGTTGGGGGAGCCCTTGGCTCTAGAAACCATTTTCCAGGGAAAGTCTTCCCAGTGCACCCACGCAGCTCCTCCCGCTTGGGTCTGCATCCGGAGCCCCGGTCCCTTCTGCTTTCCCTGGGACACTGTCCCAGGCCCTGTGGCCCCCACAGAAACTGCAGTGGTCACCCCTAACGGCAGCCTCCTCGGGGAGCGCTGCCTGGCTCTCGAGCCAGAGATCGGGATGCAAGACCTCTGCTGGTCAGCGCAGTCCAAGCACATCCTGCTACGAGGGTGGGGGTGACACACCACACACACATTGGCATCTGGGCATGGGACCTGTGGAGTCTGAACCTAGTCAGAGAGGTGAGCGTAGTTCAGCCCTGAAGTCTGACTCCCAAAACAGTCCTGGAAACTAGGGTTTTTCATGGCTGTCTTTACTGTGCTCGGTCTATAGGACTCTGGGACATCAGAGCTAGGCAAGGCTCAGAGGTAAGCACCTCTTTGTGTATTTTTTAAAGATTTTTAGAGAGAGGAAGGGAGAGGGAGAGAAACATCGATGTGAGAGTGAAACATGGATCGGCTGCCTTCTGCACCCCCACTACCAGAGATTGAGCCCTCAACCCCAGGCATGTGCCCTGACCGGGAATCGAACCAGCAACCTTTTGGTGCATAGGATGACGCCCCATCAACTGAGCCACCCCAGCCAGGGCGAGTACCTCTTTTGATGTTACCCACCCCTACCCCATGTAAAGGACAAGGAGGCTTGGGGGAAGGTGACTTGCTAGGGCTACACTGCTAACAAGGAACAGAGCCCAGGCTGGCGGCTAGCTCTCCAACTCTGAGCACAGGACTCTTCCTGCGGCAACCGTCACCTGCCCACACCCTGGCCTCCAGCCCTGCACAT